GGCAAAGTTCTGGAGCGATGCATCTACCTTCCATCCCTGCCACCCCCCTAGCAGTAGCATGGCCTTCGTATCCCATGATATCAACTCCCGCCCCCGCGGCAACATAGAACAAGTTAAAGGCGCCCAAGAAGACTGAGACAATGAGCGGGTCGCCCGCACAACTTCCCTGTCTCGGCCAGGCGACCAACGGTCCGCCCCAGGCCTCGAAATGGATCGGGCTCTGCCTGAAACGTTGCTTGCACGTATGCTGGCCGGCTTGCCTCGCATGAAGCTCCACGGGCTGGCCCAAAGTAGCGCGGCCAGTACAGCCGAGCGCGTTGCTGAGGTCCTTCAAACACACAACATGCGTGGCCCCCCCCCGACGCCGACGATTCATAAATTGCGAACGCAACGCTGCCCCCCCCTCCGCTCGACGAACCCGTAGTCCGTGATGGGCGCATCCCCTTTCAGAGGACAGCCAAAGTCGCCCTTGCTGAATTGGCTGTCAGATGCGTGCGACTCGCCGCCCCCGCGGCCCTGTAAGGCCTGACTTACGCAACCCACAGGCCGTCTTTGTGTCATGTCACAGGCGTCTGCTGATGCATGCGGATCCTAAGCAATCACACATTCACCAGGAAATTGAACGCGAGGGTACTCGGGGACCCCAGCGCGGCTCCTACACCCTGCGCAGGACGCGCGCACTTCCGAGGCCGAAGAAGCAAACGCAAATGCCACAACTCCAGCGGTGCGGCCCCAGGAGAGGCCGCCTGTCTCTTACTTGCCCGACTAAGAGACCGAAGGATAGTCGAGTAATCTTCCTTGGCGACTTAGCAAGGTCAGGGTAGGGCAGCCATTTGAAATGCTCATCTTGGTCGTCACGAAGAGTCGACCAGGTCTGCGGGCTGCGCGGACATGCCGCCCTTGTGGTCTGGCAAAGACTGAATTTCCAGCCATTGGCGGGCTGTGAGGAGGACCAGGGCGAATCAATGCTACATCGCTTTTCGTGGGCCCGATCCTCGTAGCGCGGCCATGCGCGTGAGCTGCATGGCCTCTGATGTCCGCACTCGCCGTCGAAAGTCGCTAGCCTCGTCCAATAATTGCTGCCTCCATCTCCTCTGGTATCGGTGTCGGGAGAGCGTGAGCTGCTGGGAGAGAGTCGCCAGCTTCTCGTCGATCATCTTGGCCTCCTCGTCGCTGCTCACGTACTTGCCCGCCCGAATCTCCACCCTGCGTTGTAATGGCCAGCGCCTTTCCGCTCTTCGCGCATCGGAGGCGGTACAGCTCTCGTGACACATTCTTCCCTCGCATGTACCAAATGCGTCTCCGCTGTCTCAAAGATCTCGTCTGGCGAAGCACTGTGTCTCATGACATTCGGGTCCACTGCTTGAAGCGACGCAAGTAGTTCCTTCCGACATTCGCGTTTGTGGGTTGCCTTCTGCATCAGGGCGCCTCTGTCCAATCGCAGCGGCGGGTCCACTCGTACTTCAAGCACACAGTATTGGCAGATGGTCCCGTGGCGCAGCACCCCGGTGTACTTGCAACGTTGCTCCGAATCGCGGAATCGTACCATGCTGAATAACCATCGATTCCATGTCAGTGGGTACCTCATAGGAACCGATGCGCGGGCTGTACGTACCACTGAAGAGAGTCGACGAACTTCCCCCACCAAGCGTGTTGCCCGCCGCAAGTCGGTGTTCCTCCAGAAGTGCGCGCTCCAAAGCACCTGCTCTATCTTCGAACCGTTCGAGCGTCGGAGCACCGATAGCTTTCATACCAATTTCCACACTGCCCGCGCCTTCCTTTTCAAGCCCCATACCATCATTCTACTCACAACATTGTTTAAACAAAAAAAGTTGGCCTCGTAGGAATATGACCCAATAACCTCATGCCCGTGAGAATAAACACTGGGGGATAATAAAGTTCGGGGTTCAGGGAGAGATAGCAAAAGTAGCCCAGCAGACCTCAGCATAATCTCGAAGTAAGACATGATCAAGAGGAGACCAAGCCGAGCACGTTTTGAGACATCCTTGGCGTTTAGTTTTCCTAGAAATATCCTCAACAATGGCTTATATCTCATGAAAACTGTTGTTTTTGTAAGTGCTCGTATAGGGTAGCTCATGTGCCTCAATTTCCATGGATAATCAACCCCAGATATAAAAAAAGTGCAGGCGAGCGTGGGGACAGAGAGAAATATAAAAGAAGAAGAATACAGTATACTAGTAATAAATAAGAAGACGAAGAGGATAATAAGAAGAGGACGAAGAAAGGACAAATCCAAAGTTCCAAATCTATCAATTTTAATTTACAAACGCTTTATGCAAATTGATTTTTTAAAGTGCTCGTGTAGGGTAGCTCATGTGCTTCATTTTCCATGGATAATCAACCCCAGGGATAAAAAAGTTCAGGCGAGCGTGAGGACAGATAGAAATATCAAAGAAGAAGAAGAAAGTATAATAATAATAAGAACATTGCTCGTTTTTTTGAGTCTGCCTCCCAAAATTATTGGTTTCGCTTGACACATCCTGAAAAAGTGTGATCGCTTCGCTTGATGTTGCTATATCAACATCGCTTGATGTTGCTATCTCAACATAGCGTTTCGAGGTGATAATGAAGTTCGGCCTCAGCGCTCGCCGCCCAATTTGAATTTTGGATAGGGCGACGATAATCAACACTAAACACTGAAGGGGGGGTCCCTTTATTATCATCGGCACGCGGTTATTTTTCCCAACCAATCTCTGAGATTACGAACCGAAGCCAGTAGACACAGTTCCCAGGATTCCTCCCTCGTTTGCCATACGTTCTGGGCGTTCGTCTTCCTCCCCTCTTCCCATAGTTTCCCAACATCGTTTCCTGGGGGTCAATCGACGATCGATGATTTGTGCCTGTGCTTGTTTTTGTTCCCTCCCAAGGCCCCTGGCCCCTGGCCTCTGGCCCCAAAGCCCCTGGCCCCTGGCCTCTGCAGGCAAGGCGCAAGCGCAGCGAAACCACTGCACTGCGGCTCTCCGGCTCCGCCTCCCCCCATCGCCAGCTCGGGGCCCCCTCTGCTTTTGCGCCCCCCCCGACCCAGATCCTGTTCCTCGCCGTCGCTCGGACGTCCAGCCTCGTGTGCTCTTTTTGGTGTCCTCGGTGACCCAGGAGGCTCCTCGATGTCCCTCGCCGAGAATACGGAGCGAGGCCGAGGCTCACCCTCCCTCCCAGGAGAGCCCAGAATCCAACCGATGAGTCGGAGCGGCGATCGGGACGACTCGCAGCGGCGGAGATCGGCAGACTGGTAGGGCCGAAGCAGCGGAGCTCCGCAGGCGAGTGCGGCCGAAGAGCAAGCATTCAAATCGGACTCCGACATCGAATCGGATCGGACTCGACCGAAGCCGAGTCGAATCAAGCTGGAGGAGCCGAAGCGAGGCCCTGCACTCTCGAGGCCCACTCCTCCTCCTCCTCCTCCTCCTCTTCCTCCTCCTCCTCCTCCTCCTCCTCCTCCTCCTCCTCCTCCTCCTCCTCCTCCTCCTCCTCCCCTCTTCCTCCCCCCCCCCTCCCCCCTCCCCCTCCCCCTCCCCCTCCCCCCCCCTCCCCCCCTCCCCTCCCCCTCCCCTCCTCCCCCCCCCTCCCCCCCTCCTCCCTCCTCCTCCTCCTCCTTCCTCCTCTCCTCCTCCTCCCTCCCTCCCCTCTCCCTCCTCCTCCTCCTCCTCCTCCTCCTCCTCCCCTCCTCCTCCTCCTCTCCTCCTTCCTCCCCTCCTCCCTCCTCCTCCTCTCTCATCCTCTCTCTTCCTCCTCCTCCTCCTCCACTCCTCTCCTCTCCTCCTCCTCCTCCTCCTTTCGTCCTCCTCCTCCCACGCCTCCTCGTTCCCCTCCTCCCCCTTCTCCTCCTCTTCCCGCACCTCCCTCTTCCGCTCCTCCCTCTCTCCCGCTCTCTCTCCTGCTGCTCTTCCTGCTGCTGCCCCTCCCCGCGGGGAGCACTGGCAGCATCCGTGGCACGACGCCGGGTGAAGTCCATAAGCGTGTTTGACCACCTGCCAAACCACCCCAACCCAACCCTCTCCACCCTGGAAATGGAAGGCAAATTTAGAGGCCTCCTAGATGGGGTCGGAGTAGATGGGGTCGGAGGATCGCGCTGCATCGCCGATACATCGTCGATACATCGGCGATGCATCGGCGATGCATCGGCGATGTTCTGGCGATGCATCGTCGACATCGGCGATGCATCGGCGACGCCATCGTGGAGAAAATCGGGCTCCACATCGAGCCGCATCGGCGATGCATCGGCGATGCGGCACGATCCTCCGACCCCATCTACTCGGACCCGATCTAGGAGGCCTAGAAAATTGAATCCTTCGGGTGGGGCTGGGATGGCTCGGTGGGTGGTGCATGTCGCTGTTGAAGCAACACCAGGCCGTCGCGCCAAAACGATGGCACAACACGCCGACGGGCTTCCGGCGGCGGCGCCCCCCCTTGATGCGCTTCCTCCTCCCGACCCTCCGCGCTGCAGGGGCCGCCCCGGCGCAGAGAGTGCGCGCCCCCCCCCCCCCGGGCACGTTTTCGCCATGCCTCCGCGAACTCTTGCCGTCCATGCAGAAAGGATCTGAAGCCCTTCGGCTCGCCGGGGGGCCGAAACGGAGAGGGGGGAAGAGCTCCAGCGGTTTGGGAAATCGGCATGGAATTGGCAGGGCATCGCCGATGGATCGGGGAGGGGCCGGCGATCCGGGGCAAGTTGGGGCACAGAAGCCCCTATCGGCGATGCAGGGGCGACCAGGGGTCGATGTCCCCCCCCCTGGGCCAATATCCCCCCTCGGCGCCCCTGAAGCTTGCCTCGCCAGCTCTGGTTAATTCGCCTTTCGCACAACTCAGCTGCAACTGCAACTACAATCCAAAGTCGCATACCTCCATCCTGTGCTGCGAGCGATCGCGTATGTGACGACAGGTGACAGCAGTTGGAGAGTCACGATCGCTCTAAACTTAAACCAAACTACGAGCCTCACGGCTGTGCCCAACTCCAGGGAATATGTACACTAACTGTCACCCCTGCCTCACGACCGCTCTGAACTTGAAACAATTTGTGCTATAGCGGCTTCATATGACCACGCGTTTGCAATGCCCGATGCCAACGTGGTCTCTGGCACTGCATAATGCGGGTAGTACAGGGAGAACTGGTAAATGAGAAGACGACGTCTTGAAATCCCTGAGGGTACTTCGATGATCCACCCCTCGGGAACAATTCCATCCAAACCATGCCGCAGGCCACAGGACGCCCGTAGCTCCTCCGGCAGGATGATGGTGCAATCATCAACCCTGGCCTGCCACTTATGGGACGGCGGGAAACCCCACCAGATGGCTGGACTGAGACCTAAAAAATCAGAACTATGATGGGTGCCGTCGATCGCGCGCCAACCAAACTTGAAGCGACGCCAAGAACAACTGATCAACAGAATGGCGAGCAGGGAGGTCCGCATAGCACAAACAGGTGTCGTGCTGGACGCCTAATTGCACAGAAAGTTGCTGTTCAAACCCAGTCGCCTGAAAAGGTTGCACGCAGGACGCCCCCCGCAGAGGGCGGCGCGCCCCCCTCAGATGGCTGGCACTGCTCGGATACACGGCAAGGAGAGGTGGCTGGCCACCAACTGCCCGCTGCCAGAAGGGTGTCGGGCAAACTCACGAGAACCTGCGCAGCCCGATGTGACAGAAGCTTGGCACCAGCTATGCACCTGCAGCGGAGGCCCGACCGCAAGACACCTTCCACAAAAAAAAACCCAACACGGAGACCCGCAGGACGTCCACTGATGTTTGGTGTGGGAACGTCACGCCTCCCATGGCGAAGACATCGAAATCCAAGACACCCAGAACACACTGGAGACAAGCAGGATGTTTCTTGGCATGGGCCCCCACTGTACTCGGGAGCGGCCAAGAGGGGGGTGTCCAAGAGGGGGGGGTGCAAATCATGACCGGCGGCATGTGCGCGGCCCAGCGGGGGGGGCCTGGGACGTAATGAAATAAGAGGAGGCGCCATGACATCTGGGGAGATATCATGGCCCCCGCCATGAAATCCCCCCCCCCCTAGACATACCCCCCCTCTTTTCCGCTCCCGATGTACACCGATCCAGGCCAGGCCGATCCTGGACCCGGGCTCGATGAGTGCCCTTTTCCTGGCTCGGGCCCCAGGATCGGTGCAGGTGTCCAGTTGGTGCCCTCCGAGGCTCCGAGGAGATGCGTGCCATTCAACTTTTCGGCGACTCCGACAGGTGTAGTTTGCAAGGGGTGCGGTTTGCAATCGGCACCCTGGGGAACATCCTGGGGGGCACCCTGGGGGGCGCGCGGGGACCTCGATAGAGCTCTCCCGCGCTCGGAGCAGGCCCGACGAGGACAGTGTCGTGCCCCCCAGGCCCCAACGGTGCCGATCGCAAACCACATCCCGGCGTAACCATATCCGTTGCAATCGCCAGCGAATGCACAGGTAACGACGAGGCGTGCGCTCGGAAAGATACGTAGGACGTGTACACTCGTGCGAATCCTTGCTCCTCTGAGCCTCGGCTGCCCCTGGCACCTTAGCGTGTGTACAAGCCGGGCGGCGGATGAGGTCCGTCGCCGCTGAACCCTTGGGCGCGCCCCGCGCAATCCGATCTGAGAGAAACGATGGTTCGAAATATCTGGTATAACCGGCCGCGAGCTGATCCCAATCCGTAAGATTGACGAGCCATCAGGCAATGGCAATTCGAGGGATGCGCCCTCAGAAACGGGGGGAATAGTTTAAAGACCAGGGCTATCGAACTGAGGCGATGCCGATCAGAAGGATAGGGATATGCTTCAGGCTTGTAATTACTCGTAAGGACAGAAACGTTTTCCTTCCACGGATTCATGCAGCGTTACTTCTCTCAGAACAGCGGCTACCTATGATAGAGATGCCCGCCCAGAACCTCAGCGAGCCCAGACCGTGCGGCGGATGAGGTCCATCGCCTCTGGACCCTTGAGCGCGCCCCGCGGCTTCTTCGAACCCCACAGCGCTGCCTGCGAGCCGTTCCTTCTTTTAGACGCTCGAAGTTGCCGTGATGCCGCTGTGGCGAGCTTTTGGCCCGCGCGACACTGCCGCTCCAAAGGAAGCGGAGGGGGGGTGGTCTGTCTCCAGACCTCCGCTTCACGCGACTGCTTGCAACAGTGCGTCCTATGGAGGAGACTCCACCTGCTTGAAACAGGAGCCAACGACAGCCAAGATATACTCCCAAGGGTAAAAAGAAAGGGGGTGTGAGGGCCCGCGCCGATCGGTCAAACACTGAATAAAGAAAACGATCATCAACAGATACTTGTTCCAACTAGCCTCAACATGTTATTGGTCGACCCACGTTCCGCCTCGGCTGAGTCGCACCGCGCGATACCAACACAGGCCTCCCCCCACACTGTGTCCAAGCCAGTCACGCTTGGAACGACGACTGCTGGTCTGACAAATCCCGCCCCATGTCTAACCAGCTTCGAACTTATCCCTATCCCTGAGATGGGCGAGCAAAAAGCGAGGACAATCTTAGGAATGTGCCCTCAGGAATTGAGGGAATCCTTGAGATCGGCATCGAGGAAAGGCGATGCCAAACACAGGGACAGGGGTATGTTTCAAACTGGAAAATGTCGAAAGTCACACCCCAATGATGCGGGCACCACCTGCAGCGAGCATTGCGGGCTACGTCGAGGGGTGGCGCGGGTACAGTCATATGGCGTTGCAATATCAATCCAGGTCGGGTTTGGAAGGGGCTCTCGGTGGTGCTCCTTGGGTTCCCTCCCGATTCTGCCAGTGAGCCCCCTTCGGCGTTCCTTGGGGAGGGGCAGGGGATGGGACGTCTCCGGAAAGGGGCTCGGCCATTCCCCAGGAATGGATGATTCGATGTTGAAATAGGGGCTTCGCTCCTGATGTAGCATTCCTTCTGGCAATGCCGTGACTGTTTCGGGAGCGGCCAAGAGGGGGGTGTCCAAGAGGGGGGGGTGCAAATCATGACCGGCGGCACGTGCGCGGCCCAGCGGGGGGGCCTGGGACGTAATCAAATAAGAAGAGGCGCCATGAAAGCTGGTGAGATATCATGGCTCACGCCATGATATCCCTCCCCCCCTCGACATCACCCCCCTCTTGTCCACTCCCGACTGTTAACTCGTGCGCGCCGAAGTCGGGGCCGGGCACGTCGGAGCCACGTCGGACGTTGGATTCGCCGCAGGCCCACGTCCGGATCGTAGCGGACCTGCGTCGGAACGTCGCCGCGCGACGAACGTCGTCCCCTTGTGTGAAAGGGGCGGGCGTGTGGACTCCACGACTGCGCGTCGCGCGAGGCCTCCGGGATGTTCCTCCAAACAGGTGGGCGAGTGGAGATACTTGTTCGGTCGCGGCCGCAAGCGAGCGCGCAGGCGGCGAGAGAAGTCGTCCGGGCGCGACTCAAACCTGCCGGGCCAGCTCACCAGGCGGCAGCTGGGGCAGCAGGGCGGGGGCTGGCTGGCTGATCAGGCACCCAGGGCGAGTGGAGATACTTTGTTGGTTCGCGGCTCCAAGGCGAGGGTCAAGGAGCGGGCACAAACGAGTGGAGATACGCGAAGCGTCAGGGCTGCGTGCTCCAACACTTGCGGGTGTCGTTGGGACTTCGCAGTGCACACACACACAAAACTCCGAAACGAAAGCTATCCCTGCGAGGCGATCCCCCCTGCGAGGGACACCTCTGTGCGCGTTTTTCCCCCTGCCAGGGCTCCTTCGGTGCACGCTGTAACTACCCCAGGCTGGGGGCTAGCGTGTGATAGGCGGACAGGCTGCGCCACCTCGCACGCGATCTGTCCAACGCAAGCCGCACCTGATCCACGCAACTCGCCTGAGCACCGTTGCTGGATGGGCTGGTCCGATAGTCGGACCCAGACCAGAAAAGCATCCCTCGAGAACACGAGAGCCTCCGCCAGCCGGCCAGGACGCACAGGAACATCCAAGGGTACACCCTCCCCGGGACGCACCAGAACGCCCCAACAAGCACGAAGAACACTAGGAGGCCCGCCCCGAACCGACCTCGATCTTGCATGCCCCGGTCTGACTGTACGCTAAGCGCTAAGCGTTGCTCCTCCTCCTCCTCCTCCCTCGTTTCCCTTTCCCCCTCCTCCTCCTCCTCCCCCTCCTCCTCCTTTTCCCCCTCCTCCTCCTCCTCCTCCTCCTCCTCCACAATGCAAAAATACGAATACACTCTCCTTCATCCCCTGATGGCGTGCGGAAGATAGCGGGCACCCCTCCGCGCACTGTTTTTTTACTCACAGGATTTCCCGGAGTTGGGTTTTCGCTTGGTTTTTTTCCAAAATGAAACTCTCGCTGAGGCGCGGGCTTCATTTTCGGGCTTCCGCTCGTTCCGAATCGTGCTCCCGCTGCAACGCCGGCCTCATTCCCGTGCTTCCGCTCGTTCCGAATCGTGCTCCCGCTGCAGCGCTGGCCTCATTTCCGCGCTTCCGCTCGTTCCGAATCGTGCTCCCGCTGCAGCGCTGGCGTCATTTCCCGTGCCATGCCACGGCATGCAATGCAATGCTAGGTTGCGTTCCGCTGCGCGATGCCATGCCTTCAGCTGCAGCTGTCATATCCAAAGCGTAAGAGCCACGTCATGCTATGCCATGCTACGCTTTGATCTTCAACGCCATGCTATGCAATGTTATGTTCGGGGCCGCTGTGCGATGCCATGCTTTGCGTTGCAAAGCTGTGTGATGCAATTATTCACTACGCCACGCCACGCCATGCTGTGACATACTACGCTTTGCGGTGCTCTTCTACGCCATGCCATGCCGTGCTCTACAATGCATCGCGTACCCTTTCGGGATCATTGCCCTGCTCAACATCCGACTGTGCGAGTAGAGAGGGGATCTACGCCATGGTAAGGGATGGGAGGGAGGGGTAGGATGTCAGATATGACGCGAGCGCACCTAGCTTGTCATCCTCCCCCTCCCCCTCCCCCTCCCCCTCCTCCTCCCCCTCCCCCTCCTCCCCCTCCTCCCCCTCCTCCCCCTCGACCTGCTCCCTCTCTCCCTCCCTCCCCTCTCCTCCATCCTCCTCCTCCTCTCTCTCCTCTCCGCCCCTCCTCCTCCTCCTCCGCCCCTCCCCCTCCTCCGCCTCCTCCTCCTCCTCCTCCTCCTCCGCCTCCTCCTCCTCCTCCTCCCTCCTCCTCCCCTCTCCTGCTCAGCCTCCCCCCCTCTCCGCCTCCTCCTCCTCCTCCTCCTCCTCCTCCTCCTCCTCCTCCTCCTCCTCCTCCTCCTCCTCCTCCCCCCTCGCCTGGACTGGCGTCCGAGGGGGCGAGGCGCACGGGCCTCTCACAGACGCCAGCAAGCAGGGCCACAAGACAACAGCGGCGCTCGCGCGGCGGCCAGGGCGCTGTGGGCTCTGCTGCAGCAACGCGTGGGCGGCCAGGGACGGGGGAGGAGGAGGAGGAGGAGGAGGAGGAGGAGGAGGAGGAGGAGGAGGAGAGGAGGAGAGGAGGAGGAGGAGGAGGAGGAGGAGAGGAGGAGGAGGAGAGGAGGGGGGGGAGGGGGATGAGGAGGAGGAGGAGGAGGAGGAGGAGGAGGAGGAGGAGGAGGAGGAGGAGGGCACGCGAGGAGGACACAAGCCTTAGGTCGGGCAGGTCCCCCTACAGGCGGAATCTGGGCGAAACCTAAAGAGTAGCCAAAACAACAAAAAATTAAGAAGGGCCAACAATGGTCACAGCATCGTCCCCCGACTATGGTTTGCCTATTGCTGAAGATTCCTCCGGTAGAGGGACAGGCCCGCCTTAACACACAAGACCTTTCCGAGGGCCACATTGCCACATGGATGCTGGAGGCATGGGCCGCGAGAGACAAGACATCAAGAATACACCCTTGACTCGGCAAGGTCCTCCGACCAATCAAGGCCGACCGTGAACCCGGCGGTTGTTTTGCACACTATTTCCCGTAGCGGTCGTTATCCAGGGGGCGGGGCCCAGGTAACGGTGACGCTTGTGCGGGTTGGGGCACGTCGGGGCGGGGATGCGCTGCGATCGCCACGAAGTATGCACCTGAGACCAACATGTTGGGGGAAGTCCACTCCCCCCCACACGGACGGTCAGTTCAATAACCCCATGAAACGGAGGGCTTGGCCCAGCCCACGTGACGACCGCTATGCACCACAGGATCAAAAAAAATCCTTGAACGATAGGCGGCGTTTGGATGGGCACATCGTTCCAGATTGGCAGGGCCTCATTCGGCCTCTGGCGACGCTCGACCTTCAAACGCCAGCCGGGAGGGGGGTCGGCACCGACCCGACGCGACGCCTAACTGCCAGGCTTCTTGCCTCGAAGGGTGTGCGGGGCCAGGTGCCCAGGGCTGCTCTCGCCCACGGCCCCGAGACCTCCCAAGATGCCCCCCCCTCAGGAGGCTCGGGACGCGCCCCCCAGGCCCCAAAACGGCCCACCGAGGGAATCGGGCAGGGGTGGCGGGAGGGGCGGGTATTGGCGGCGCGCAAAGGGGGGGGGGGGGAGGGGGGCGTGGCTTCTTGGAAGGTGGGTGCTTCTCAAGCGGCCCGGGCTCTGCATCTAGAAGTTAGACAAGGCGCGCGCCAGCTCCGAAACAGGGGTGTTTCTGAGAAGCCTTCCCCCATCCCCATACCACCCTCAAAGCGTGGCCGACCGTGATCACCATGCGTGCTCGGCGTCGCATCGAGGTGGACGATGCGCTACACTTCTGGCCAACCGTGCCGTCCATGTCGGACAGGGCGGGGTTCTTTGAGCTCGCCTGCCCCGCTTCACTGCGCGGGGTTAAGCTTAGGACGGTGCTTCGCACCGACCTGGACCACAAGTCTAGATGCCTCCTAGATGGGGTCCGAATAGATGAGGTCGGAGGATCGCGCGGCATCGGCGATGCAACGGCGATGCATCGGCGGTGCATCCGCGACGTCGGCGTGGCGTGGGGGACACTTGGCTCCACATCGAGCCGCTTCGCCGAAGCATCGCATCGCCGAAGCATCGGCGATAGGGCGCGATCCTCCGACCCCACCCACTCGGGCCCCATCCAGGAGGCCCAGAAAGCCACGAGGCCAGACGGGCGCCAAGAGGGGGGAAGCAAATCATGGCCGGCGGCATGTGCGCGGCCCAGGGGGGGGGACGCAATGAAACAGGAAGAGGCGCCATGAAATCTGGAAGGATACCATGGCCCCCGCCATGAGATCCATCCCCCCCTGGTCACCACCCCCCTCTTTGCCGCCCCCGATGAGGCCTGGACCCCTGCCTGTGCACCGGTCCTCGACCCCGCCGGATCTGTTCCGCCGACGGCCCAGGAGGGGCCCAGCGCGGGCCCCCAGAGGCCGAGCACGGCCCACGAGGCGTCGCACGGCCGCCTGCACGGCGCGAGCATTTGTCTGCCCTCCCCCCTCTCTTGGCATCGCTCGGACGTCCGTTCCCCGTGCACCTGTCGAATTCGGGCGTGCTTTTTTGGCCCGAGGGCCCAGGATGCTCCTCGAGGGCCTTCGCCGAGAAGAGATGCACGCGCCCGAGCGATGCCGGGGCCCTGCCGCAGCGACCACGGGCAGCGCGGCCACTCCGACGAGGCGAGCGAGCCAGAGGGCCAGCACAGGCCAGGATCGCATCCACATGTCGGAGCGGCGGCCGACATGCATCGGATGTCGCCATCACCCAGACGTCCATGATTCCCCGTGCATTTCTCGGCTTCGTGCGAATACAGTCAAAACGTTTATTAAGGACGGGTGGTAAGGACGCAAGACCCTTGGAGGCCGAAGTTGGATTTTTGGGGCGGGGGGCGGCCAGTGAAAACGGCGAAGGACGGGCCGCAGAGGCAAGGACTCAAGGGTACCCTAGCTGAAGGCACGCGTCCTTACTGGGCGCGTTGACTGTAAGTTTTCGCAAGCTGACCCAAAAAGGCTCCTGGAGGGTCCCTGCCGGCAAAGAGTGCACACGGCCGGCCGAGCGATGCCAAGGGATCGGCGGACATCAGCAGCCACGTCGGGGAGCGTCGGATCGGGGGAAACAGACAGCCAACGTTTATGTCTATAGACAGCCGCCATGGAGAGAGGCTAGGAGTCCGAGCTGGAAGCCGACGCCGAAGCGGATCGGCGGCGGGGCCGATCGACATCGCCTCCAGCCGAGGCGGAGGAGTCGAAGTGGGCGCCTCCAGGGCCGACGTGAGCTCCTCCTTGCCCGAGTCCAGGGCCACGGCCATGGGCGTGCGCCCGTGGATGCTGGAGGCCAGCGGGTTCGCCCGCGCGCTGGCAGCCGCCCTCTTCTCTCTCCGAGGCCCTGGCCCTCCTCCTCCTCGTCCCCCTCCTCCTCCTCCTGCTCCTCCTCCTCCTCCTCCTCCTCCTCCTCCTCCTCCTCCTCCTCCTCCTCCTCCTCCTCCTCCCCCTGCTCCGCGGGCGCCTGCGCAGTCCCCTTCGCTCCGTGCCCTGGAGCTCCGAGCCCCGACTGGCCGACTCTGGGCTGCAGCGGAGGCCGGTCCACAGGAGACCTGCCGCAAGAAGCCCAGCCCTGAGACCCCAGGACGTTCACTGCTTTTTGGTGTGGGCACGCCACGCTGTTTACCAGCCTCGAACGTATCCCTATCCCTAAGATCGACATGCCAAAAGGCGATGACCATCTTAGGGACTCGGCCTCCAAAAATAAGGGAATCCCTGAGATTGGCATCGTAATGAGGAGGTGCCCAGCATAGGGATAGGGATATGTTCCAGGCTGGTAAGCTGTCCACAGCAACACCATCGAGACCCAGGAGACCCAGGGCACCGTGGAGACAGGCAGGGCGATCCTCGGCCTGGGCCTCTACTGCACCGGCCGCACGCTGTATGCAAGACGTGCTGCCAGCAGCCCCTCCCCCCCCCCCGCAGCAGACGCAGCCCTGATCTCGCCATCGCTCGGACGTCCATTCCCTGTGTTTTTTTGGTTTCGTGTGTGGTCTTTTCGCCAAATGATCAAGGATGCTCCTCGATTGTCCTCGCCGAAAGAACAATGCACACGTCCGAGCGATGCCAAGTGATCTGGAAGCTGAAGTCCGTGCTGCTAGAGTCCGAGCTGCAGCCTACTCGGGCTGCGGCCTTTCGGCCTTTGGCGACGTCACCCGCGCAGGCTCGGAAGAGCCGTGGCGTGTCGGGCGGAACGGCCGAGAGAGCGCCGTGCAATCCGTGCTGACCTCCATCGGCCCCCGCGTGCTGAACATGGAGGAGCCGACACGTCGGAGACGGAGCACGAAGAACCAGAGGACAGGATCTGGCGGGTGACAGGTATGCGCAAGCCACCGCGGGGACTGAGATGGAGAGGATGCACGTGGGAGCGACTGCGTGAACATGTTCCAGTACGGCGGCAACAATACCCAACGCCGCAAATAACAGGCCTTGACTGATGCACAAGCAACTGGTTTCACTGCGAGGTCCAAGACGAAGAAGAAGAACAACAAATATGAACACATACGCAATGCTTCAGCAGGGACCGACCGTCCCAGCATTCCAATAAATCTACCACGGACAGTTCTCAGAACCCAAAATGTTACGATAACAAAAACACTATTCTTAGAACATAACCACTATGCGTGTTAACACACGACGGTCTCAACCAGAAGTGCTCTAAACACGTTTCGTGCAGACCACACAAGGTTCTTAGAACATTCTTCGGTAGGCCTATAATTAAGTCGGGCATGTCCCTCTACAGGAGGAGTAATTAAAAACCGTCAAACCGATATGGGGATGTTCTGATCATGTTTGGGCATGCTGGGAGTATTGACGGAATAGTTTTAAAGTTTCAACCAAAGAAACCCGCCTGTAGGGGGACAGGCCCGACCTATGCCTATAGGCGAGCCAGGACGCGTCGCCACTGCCTGAAATGCGACACGGAGCTGGGACACCGCTCGACGCCTGCCGCATGCCCTGCCGCAACTGCCCTAGGCTCCCCTCGCTGGCCTTGCTTGGCTCACGCCGGCCCGCGAGACACACAGTCATCGGCCTGACCTGAGGAACGGTCAATAGGGAACGAAGCTTTTTTTCCCAGGAGTACAGTCGGGGCGTTGACCTAAGGAACCCTAAATAAGGAACGAGGCCCCTTTTTTCCATAAGTTAACCTTCGATATCCTGTCGAAAACATAAGGACAGCGTGGGGCAAGCTGTGAAGCACTTAAGGAGCGCGGAGCCCCTCCCCAACGAAAGGGTTCCTTCTTCAGGGCCCCGACTGTAACGCATAAGGCGCGATGAATCAGAAATGAGGCATGAGGCCCTTTTGAAAAGTAAACGCTCCGTATTCAAGCCACTCACTGTATGATCGCAAAGCGTGCCATTTCTTTCTGCAATTTGTCTCCCTCAGAAACCGCTGGACCTCGCCCACTACCATCGAGCACAACGAAAGAAAGAGAACAGAGGAACGGCCACCTGATGAGCATGCGGCACACCTGCGGCGGGAGAGGCTCGCACCGGCCCGGCGCACTGCAACAGAATAACCCCTCCATACTTGGGTGCTCGCTCTGGGGACCTTCTTGGAGCCACTCGCTCCACTCATGCGCCGATGCTGCGTCGAACGTCCGTCGACTTGAATCGACACTGCTTCTAACTTGATTCGAACTAGAGCTAGAAATATCCGTCGGGTGGGCAACACAAAGGCCCCCCCAAACGAGCCACTTTAGCACGCTGTTCGGAGCGAGCGCCTCTCAGGACTACCCTGTCCAACGGACAAATTCGCCGGCCCAACGGGCCAGGGCGTGCTAAGATCTCCGGTAACTGGTTAACAGTATTAACAGTATTTCTAGTTCGCGCGCGCGGGGCGGCCCCTGGGGGTCCCCCGGCGAAAAGTACCCCGACCAACGCCCGGTCGCCGCCCGACCGCCGCCCGACCGCCGCCCGACCAAGTCTACTCAGAGATGGTTTTCCTTCTGGGTGCGGCCTCTCAGGCTCCCCAGAGCGCGCTCAGAGTGCCCCAAGAGGCCCCCAAGACTGCCCAAGAGGCCCCCGAGACGCCCAAAGAGCGCTCGAAGACGCCGAAGATGACCCCAAGACGGCCCAAAAGGCCCCCAAGACAGCCCAAGAGGCCTCCAAGACGCCCCAAGAGCCTTCCAAGAGGCCTCCGAAGAGAGCCCCAAGAGGCCAAAATCGTTGATTTTCATTGTTTTTTTCGATGTTTTTTGTGTTCTGGCTTTTTCGGCTTCCGGACGCTCCAAGACGGCCCAAGAGGCCCCCAAGACCGCTCCAAGACGGCCCACGAAGCTCCCAAGACGGCGCCGAAACGACCCAAGAGAGCCCTCAAGACGGCCCAAGTGCCGCCCAAGACGGACCAAGAGGCCCCAAGACGGGCCCAAGAGGGACTCAGGAGGGATACCGAGAACTCAAAAATGGAGCCCTCCGTCCCAGAAGGCGCCCAGGAGGTCCCAAAGAGGCCCCAAGAGGCCTCCAAGAGGCCCCAAGATGTCGCCAAGAGGCCCCAGGAGACTCCCAGGAGGCCCAAAAGAAGCCCCAGAAGGCTTCAAACATGTCTCCCAGGCGCCCCCGAACGGCCTCTCAACAGACCCCAAGAGGCCCCCCAAAGAAGCATCTTGACGACGACTCTATTTCGCCCCATCGAGAGACGACCCCCAGGGAACTGCTTCACCATCAAAACTCCCCACGCAACGCGTCCGAACGACACCCGCCCCCAAGAGCGCAACATGGGCAACGAACACACAGACAAAACCAGCGATGCCATATCACGGGCCGGCGGAATGAGCGAAGCGATTCAATAAACCACTCGAACAAAAATATCCGACCCCCCCATCGGACAATCAGCACAACCCATGCTGATCAATGACGACAGAACGGCCTACCCCGGACAACCCATTGGACAACCCGGCGGGGTTCCGGACAACCCCTTCAAACAACCCCCCTTGGACAGGCCTCCCCAGGATTCTTCTTCCATTCGATATATTTAAGCCCTCCGGACGACATCCTATTCTCGCACGTGCAGGACGGAACGCGACAGTCCAGGCCATCTGCCGCGTGCGCGTGCTCGAAAAATCCAAGTCGTAGGGAGCGCCCTCGCCGTCCTCACCCTCTCACCCTCCTCCGCGCGGCCATTGGGCGTGCGCGCAAAGTGTCGCACGCCCCCTTCCGCAGTCTGGATCTGATGTTTTTGCTTACAATGTGTGTGTGTGTGTGTTTGTGTGTTTTTAGAATAGGTATAGATATACATATGCGTGCACGAGCTCGCAAGGTATGACGTCTTACCTACTCTGCGCTCGAAGGGGCCTGGTGCGGCTCTCTGCACCGTCCTCCTCGTCACGAAAAACAGCCCGCAGGAGCCTAGATTTAAGTCGGGCGTGTCCCCCCTACAGGGGGATTTTCGACGCACAGTTAAACATATTCGAAGAAATACCCCCACATGGTCAAGCAATATTCAAACAAATGGTCCCAGACTATTTTTGACTATTTTTGAACATTCCCCCTGTCGAGGGACAGGCCCGACTTGAGCCTAGATGCTCGGATGCTCGCGCGGATCCCTCCCATCGGCGCGGGAGACCTGCCCCTGGCTCACGGAGCGCGCGAGGGGCCTCCGGCGCCGCCAGTGGGGCCAGGCGTGGATCCAAGACGTCCGCGGGGAGCTCGGGAAAGTTCCACTTCTCGGCGGCGAGCGAGGGGGGGACGTGAGAAGGAGAAGGCCTTCTCAGAGGGGGCCGGGCCTTCTCAGAGAAGCCCTCGCGCCTTCTGAGAAGCTGCCCGCTTCTTCGGGGGAGGCTCAGAAGACTTCTCGGAAGGCCTGGGGACTTCCGAGCCTTCTGAGAAGGCCAGCCCCTTCTCACTTTCCCCCCCCCTCTCGCTCGCCGCCGGGGGAGGAGGAGTAAGAGTAAGAGGAGGAGGAGGAGGGGGAGGAGGAGGAGGAGGAGGAGGAGGAGGAGGAGGAGGAGGAGGAGGAGGAGGAGGTGGAGGAGGAGGAGGAGCAGGAGCAGGAGGAGCAGGAGGAGCAGGAGCAGGAGGAGAGGGAGGAGGAGGAGGAGGAGGAGGAGGAGGAGGAGCAGGAGCAGGAGGAGCAGGAGGAGCAGGAGCAGGAGGAGGAGGAGGAGGAGGAGTAGGAGGCTGGACCACGAATTCGGGGCCCAACTCGGGGGAATATGCCGGGGGGGCGCCCACCCTCGATAGGGGGGGTGCGTCCGAGCAGGCCCAGCAGGGCCCGCGGGGCCCAGCAGGGCCTGCGGGCCTGCGGAGACGGCGCCGCCGCACGGCGGCAGGGCACTCCGGCGCCGCAGGCCGTCCAGCCCTGTGGGCTCCGGCGCCGCCGTGGGGTGGGGAGGTGCACTTCTCACAAGATGTCATCCCAATTCACCGTGCCACGGAGCCGTTGGGCCGACACACGCGACCCCCCTCTGGTGTCTCGCTGCGCGCGGACAGGTTAGCATGGCATATGGGCGGCACCAGAAGAGCATGAGTGCAGTAGGAAATCGGCAACAAGCAAGTCCTCACGAGAAGCCCAGTTTTGAAGTGCTCAGACCTACAGATTGATCCCTGCGCCCTTCCGTGTGACCGTCCTTTCTACTCCGCCTCTCCTCTGGTTTGCGTTTCTCTCCTCGGTCCCTTTTCTGATAAGATGTATATGAAAACTATACATACATACATACATACATACATACATACATACATACATGCATGCATGCATGCATGCATGCATGCATACATACGTACATACATACATACATACATACATGCATGCATGCATACATACATACATACATACATACACACATACACACATACATATGTATTCATGTATATATATGTATATATACATAAATATATTTACATATATATATATATATATCGTCAGCTCCTTTCCTCTCCTCTTCTCGCCTTCGTTCCTCTCCTCCCTTCTCTCTCGTTGCTGCTTCCTTGGCCCCTCCTTTTCCCCGGCCATCCCGCCCTCCCCCCCTGGCCCTCCCCCTCTCTCCTTCTCTCCTTCCCTCCTTGGCCCTCTCCCCCTTCTCTCCTCCCTGACCCTTCGTGCGCCGCGGCGGTTTCCCTCTCGAGACGCGGCGTCACGCCGCGACGCCGCGCCGCGCTCCGTCGCGGCGCGCGCTGCCGCCGCGAGCGCTGGCCGCCGCGGCCGCCGCGGCGCGCGCCCAGGCCGCGAGCGAGGGGGCTGGGAAGGTCGGAGGGCGTCGACTCGCGGGACCGACGGAGGGGGGAGGAGAAGGGAGACGGATGAGGAGGGAGGGGGGGGGGGGAAGGGAGGAGGAGAGAGAAGATTATGAGGAGGGGGAGGAGGAGAAAAGGGAAAGAAATAATGTAGGAGGGGGGAGGGGTGACAAGGGGGGAGGGGAGTGGCAGATCCTGCGCATCTGAAGCGGGAGGACTGCAAAGGGGGCTGATTGATCCTAGCGAATTTCCAACCTCATCATTGTCCTTCGCTCTTCCTCATCGCCCTCCCGTCATTTTTCTCCTCACCGTTCCCCTTCTCATCCTTGCTCGTGCTTCTCATCCTCCCTACCGCGGTCATGGTCATCCCCGTATCCTGTATCCCCGCGCGGGCTGAACCCCATCTTCCGCCGTCTCCTCATCATCATCCTCCTCTCTCTGCCCCTCCTCACTTCCTCCTGATCCTCGTCCTCATGTCCTCCGTCTCCAGCTTCTCATGTCAATCCGCACGCCCTCCCTCTCCCCTCTGTGCACTCCTGGTACTGCCTCTCCCTCCTTCTCCTCTCTCTTCGCTGCCTCGCCCCCCGCTCCCCCACCCCGCGCGGCGGCGGAGCGGGCCGTCACGGGCCGTCACGGCGGCGACGGCCCTTCACCCACCTGGCAGCGGAGCCGTCACCCACTCCACCCCTCCACCCCCCCTCCCTCCGCGACCTCCTCATCCGTCATGTTCTTGCTTCTGCTGCTGCTGCAACTGCTGCTGCTCCTCTTCCTCCGCCTCCTCCGACTCCTCCCATCCCATCCCTTATCCACCTCTAAATCGTCATCCTCCTTATCCACCTCCTCCTTCTCCTCCTTCACTCGTCCCCCCTCCTCCACCTCCTCCTTATCATCCTCGCCATCCTTCTCATGCTTCCCCACCTCGTCCACTCGCTCCACCCCCGTCCTCCATCCGCCTCCTCATCCGCATCCTCATCCCCAGGCCCATCGCGTTCCTGTCCTCATCCTCATCCCTCCCTCATCCCCCCCCTTCTTCCCATCCGCCTTTCCTCTCATTCGCCGAGCCGACGACTCCGACCGACCCTCCTTGGTTTTTATCCGAGGCCACCCTCAGGCTGAGGGCCCCTCCTCAGCGAACCGCGAAATTGTCGTCCTTTTTCTGCATCTTCGCGCGCTTGAGGGCGGGCATCGAGTCCCAGTACCCAGTCGCCCTCCAGCAGCGCTTCTTGATGACCTGCTCGCCTCCACGGAGGAGAGAAACGCTCATAAGTTTGTTCCTCGTTATCTTCCGCCTACTCCTCCTCTTCTTCGCCTCTGCTCCTGCCCCCGCCCCCCCCCCCATATGGCCCATCCTCTTCTCCGCCTCTCCTCATCCCCATGCTCTCCATTTCCATTTCCCCCTCGCCGCATCCTGCTCACCTTGGATTATTCCCCTTATGTGCCCCTTGTCCTCCTGGCGACGACGGCAGCGACAGCGGGCCTTTCTCCGCCTCCGCGCCCTCCTCGCAGAGGCTGTCCTCGAATTTCTCGTCCTCGTCCTGGGCCAGGGGGAGGCGTAATCTACTTTCCTGAACCCGATGTGCTAGCACACCTTTCCCGGGCTCGTCACCAAACCTCCTGCGCCCTACCTTCCTCGTTCGCCCCCTCCCCCACCCCAACCGCCACCGACTCTTCTCTGTATGTTCCCTGACCGTCCTCCGAGTCCAGCTCGACCTCCAAGGGGACGAGGTGCGGCATCACGTACGTGACCTTGCGCTCTAATACCTCGACCTCGAAAGGTTTGTACCACAAGCCGTGCGTGGGCTTCAGGGCCTGATCGCTCTGCCCTCCCCGTCGCACCGTTGCTACTCTCATCTCTCGAGTTCTCTTGGCCTCATCATGTCCCTGCCTCGCCCGATCCTCTTCCTCGTTCTCCTCCGTCTCACCCTCCTCCTCCTTCTCCGTATCCATTCCCCCGCCCACTCCTCCTCCTCTTCCCCCTCCTCCTCTGTAGATTCCTCCTCCTCCCCCTCGTTCTGCTATCCTCCTCCTCCACGACCTCACTTTGCCCCTATTTCGTCCTCCTCTGCTTCGCCGCCCCCCGCCCTGCAAAGACGCCGCCGTCGCCGTCGCCCCTGCCGCCGCGCCAGGGACATGGGCGGCCTCCACTTGCGGCGACGGGGAGGCGCCTATCGGGGGAGGGGGGCCGAGGATGGGACGGGCGCAAGGGTGGCCCTCGGACGTCGCTTGGGGAGTGGGGGGGTTGGTTGGGGGATTGGGGAGCGGGGGATTCGGGGATTGGTTGAGAGGCCCAAGGAGGGATTGGTTGAGAGGCCCAAGGGTGCCATCTCTGACGATCGCCATGCTGTTCACGGATGGCCCTCTAACCCCTGTCCTACGACTCTCCTGGCAGCTGCCTTGTATTTTCTTGCCGCTATTCCTCCTCTCCATATGACGTATCCTCCTCCTCAGCCTCCTCCTCTCCTCCTTCCCCTCCTCCTCCTCCTCATCCTCCTCCTCCTCGCCCCCCTCCATGCCCCCCGTCTACGTTCACTTGCACCTCGCGGATTTATGCCTCCGCTTCCTCTCTTTGTGTTCTCTCTCTCTCTCTCTCTCTCTCTCTCTCTCTCTCTCTCTCTCTCTCCCTCTCCCTCCCTCTCTCTCTCTCTGAGTATCTCTCCTCTCGCTCTCCTCTCCCTCTCGACGTCGACCCCGCCTCGGCTCGACCCATCGAAGCGTCGACGCAAATATGTTTTATCGACCCGAGGCCCCGAGGACAGGGTCACAGCCGCCGCTGCGCAACACGGCACGCGCACGACCTGGGCGCACCGCGCCCAACGCACTGCCATCAATTGGTCTGGTCCACCGTCGGCTGCGGAGTGCTTGAGCTCGAAGGCGGCTCATTCGTCAGCCAGCGCGGCGCAGGCCCACCCGACGAGCTCGATCCACTAGAGCCCCCACGAGGCACGCGAAGATCAGTAGCTCGAAGGCCGAAGTCCTTTGGGGACACAAACGGAAATTCTCAACCCCTTCGGCTTAGCCCCACCTTGGTGCAACCCCCCGCCTCACCACGCCACCCCCCGTCCCACACACCCTCCTTCGCCCACTTGCCCTGTACGAACTTCGACGCGACAACTGGAAACTGGGCGGCTACGCGCCGCATGGTGTCCGTGTTGCCGACGATGATGCGAGTGTCGAACCTCTCGCCTGCGTTCATGCGGTCCAGGTGCTCCTCCGTCAAGCGGTGCATGAACACGCCGTCGATCTTCCACTCCACCCACCACGTCTTGTCCTCCTGAAAATGGGTGCCGAACCAACATCTCCAACACCGCCATCATTGCCCCCCCGCCCCCCGTGCGTTCAACCGTCATCCTTGTTCTCGCCTTCCTTCTCTCCCCCATCTCCTCCTCCTCCTCATCTTTCGCCTCCTCCTCCTTCTCATCCTCCTCCTACTCATCCTCCTCTTCTTTCTCCCCCTCCCCCTCCGCGTCCTCATGCCGCTTCCCCCGCATCGTATCCGCATCCGATATATTCCTCTTCGTTCTCTTCCTTTTCCTTCGCCTCGCCATCGTCTCTGAGATCACCCCTGGTCCCCCGCGCCCCCCTCGTGGTTGCATATTCTTCCCCTCGCCGTTACCTCGTCATCTGCCGTTCGCCCCTGGCTCCTTCGGCTCCACCTCAATGGCCCGCTCGCTAGGCGGGTCGCCGAGGACCCCGAAGACGAACGGCCCCATCCACTCCATGGGCCAGAAGGAGGAGCCACCCGCCGTGGAACTCGGCCTTGGGCAGCAGACAACGGACGATGCCCAACGATAAGACCTACGCCGACGACGGTGCAACGACGACGACAACCACGAGCCCAGACGAGCCAGCCACGCATGTCGGGCAGCATGTCGGCGATAGAGGACTCCTAGACGAACGACGACGATCGCGACTGTCCTCGGTATGAGAAGGAACGCCGCGAGAACCAGGACAAGGCAGATAGCCCGACAGCATGAAAGGATTTAGGAATTCCCAGCAGCCTTGTTGGGGGAGGCGCATCTTCGGACTCGGGGAGGCGCATCTTCTTCTGAGGCGCCTGGCAGTGGCAACGATACGACACCCCTCCTTTCCATGCTATGATCCCTGCTCTTGCTGATGCCCCTGCTACTGCGCTTGACTTTGCGCCACTGCCGAATATGGCATGATGCTTGCGATTGTAAGGCGCTTGCTAATGGTGTATTCCTGCAGCATGGATCGCCCGTGACGTTCGCTGCATGTCTCAAAGACAAGAAAAGTGCCGCGCCTGCATACCGCCAGCATCAACGCTCCGCTTCACGACGTCGCGGCGCACGTCGTCGCCGTTCGTGATCTGACACCGCCCCAGCAGAAGAAACTACTGAGGCAGGCGGGCACGCGTAGCAGGGTAAGCGAGAAAGAGCGGCCATGGGAAAACAGGAGCTGGGAAGGCAACGCTGCCAATGGAAAGGCAAACTGAACTGATATGGGGGGAAGGCAAGGCATATAAACGCAGATAGGCTTAGGGCGTAGAGCGTCTGAGAGAGAGCGAGAGAGGTTGAGACCCAGAGACAACCGAAAAGAGTCAGAGGTGATAGGCGGACTTCGCTCGACTAGGGGGGGGGCGACGACTCGACTAGGCAAGCGAATTCGGTGAAGGCCAATCTGAGTTCACCCCCTCTCCCTCCACGCGCCAGGACAGCATCGACGAGGGCGTCGGGCGCGCCGAGCTGAACTTGAGGACTGGACTTGCCTCGGGCGGGCATGGGTAAACAGGAGGAGCTGACGAGACTCCGAGACAACCACCCAGGCGCGGCCCAAGCAGCGCCCCCCCCCCTGCCCCCGCCTGCTCGTCGCCGCCAGCGGTGTCGCGCGCGATCTCCTCCTGAGCAGCCGCCGAGCCAGCGGGGTCAGCATCTTCTTCTGCGCCGCCAGGGGGCTCGGGCTCGGACGACGAGTCGAAGGCAGAGTCCTCGAGGTCCTCCCTCAGCCCATGCGCATGAGGATCGGGCCCCAGCGAGTCTGGAGGTAGAGAACCCTGCGTGTCGTCGAAGAGGGGGTCCTTGAACGGGCCCATCGCAGGAACGAGCTCAGACTATCGAGCCAAGCGCTTGGCCCCGTAAAGAAAATAAGCAAACCAACCTCGAGCAAACCAAGCTACAAACAAACAGCACAGGGCTTGGGGAATGAAGATCGATGTTCGCTGTGATCTCTACAGGGGCTGGAACCTACGTGGGGGGTGGCCTTGCCGCGTGCACCTCAGGCGAGGCCCACCCCCTCCCTTGGAACAAGGTGGCGTGATCTGGGGTCTGAACAATGAACAATGGGATGGTCATCATCCCCCTCCTGGCACCTTCAGACACCTCAGGGGATCACACGTCGAGAAGCGAGAAACTCGGCAAGGCCGAAAGCAATTGCATGCGGCAGAAATTGACCCGCCCCCGTTTGCCACCCCCCTCCAGGAGGACAGGGGAGGAGGAGGGGAGGTGAGAGGGGGGGCAGGGAGTAAAAGAGGAGGAGGAGAAGGAGGAGAGGAATAAGGAATAGCAGGATGACATTGACTGACACTGAGGAGGACCAGGAGGAGGCGGAGGAGGAAGAGGAGGGCGAGGGGGAGGGGGGGAGGAATAGGAGGATGAGGAGGGGGAGATGAGGAGGAAAGGAACGACGACGAGAAGCGAGGCAAGCAGCAAGGGAGAGAGAATCGCCAGGCCTTCTTCGGCCTGGCCAGCCGCTTGGCCTTGCCCTTGCCCTTGGGCTTGGCCACTGCCTTCGGCTTCGGGACAGGGGCCACCAGCCAGCCCGGGCTGAAGTCCGTCCTCAATGGGTTCATCCAGTGACTCCCCTCGACGTACAGCTTGGGCGGCTCCCACCCATTGCTCACCGTGTACCCTGCCTCTGGGCCCTCGTCCTTCGGGCCGTTCAAGCTCAGGCAAGATCCTGCGGGCATGTGCACGACGGAATCAGCTCACAACAAAGAAACATGCCCCATCGAATTGCACCTATGTGGCCAAAAACTCCCCCCGTGAGAATCACCGAATAGCAAAACCATCTTCTCGATAGTAGGTCGTTCCTATTTTCCTTAGAGGACCCCTGTAATGCATTATCTCAACTAGCATGTTGTCCTTCCTCAAACTACCGTATGTTCACACTTAGCATCGGCTCACAAAAAAAAAAAAAAAAAACTGAATCCTGTCTCTCACGGCCCCAATGAACGATTTCCCTTGCACATCGCCCCCTCATCATGCTGATCCCCCCTCATAGCCCCACATCGCTACAACAAACCTAGCTCCTCTGCTCATGTAATTCGCCGTGTCGACGTCAATCACCTTCCCGAACATTGGGATCGTCAATTCTCCGATGTCTGTGCCGTGCCGCTCCAGGATCCACTTCGCCTTCTTCGGGCCATCGTCGGCGACGGCATCCTGGGGGGCGCAGGATTCGGGCGGGGATGGCATGGACAAGTATGAGGGATGTGGGTCGCACGATGTCTGGGCCGCGCGAGTAAAATGCATGCGGTGGGAGTACGCATGCAAGCAATGCACCCTTTTCACTTTCGAGATGAGTAAACAATCCTGCTCGTCCTCTTGCTTGCTCTTCTTTTTCTCCGTGGTCAGGAAGATGTTCGAGCCCTTGTGTCCGTATGTGTACGGTTCCTCCTCGGGTGTCTTCTTCTTCTTCTTCATCTCACCAGTCTCAGTGGTCGTCTGCCGCGAAGCCGAACGTGACGACGCGACCGATAATGGCGACCGCGGCTCCGCTGGCACGATCGAGTCGGCTGAACACCCGCATGCGTCATCTGGCAACAATTCCCCCAATTATTTCTCCAATTGCTCGTCTAGGGAAGCGGGGATTTCGTGCATGCCGTAAAACTGGATGCCGAACTCCGTGATCTTGCTCTGCACAGCATTGATCACCGCCTTCTGCCACAAAGCAATCTCTGCCCCACTCATCTGCTCCTGCCAGACATAAGCAATACGATGGGGGAACAAAAGGGGAGGGTGCGTGCGACTGAAGTGGCACAACTGCCACGGCCATGCGACATCTAAGTCAAGGTGCTGCTGAAGCCCGCCAAACCAAACTTGATCGAGAGGGAAGCAGCAAGGCGGCTGAGGAGGGGGGGGACCACGCCCGCGTTACGAGAGGGACTGACGCGATCCTTAGCCATGGTGCCGTTCCAGTGGCCCAGCAAGGAGTGGTCGGGCGCGGCCTTGATGAACGCGCCGTCCTGTTTGCCCTCGTCGTCGCCCGCTGTGCCGCCGACGTCAGCAGCTGCGCTCGCGCGCACACTGGCGCTGGAGGCGGCATTCAAAATTGCATATTTCGTGCACCCCTCATCTGCTCTTCTTCCTCGCTCTCCTCCTCGCACACCCCCCCATCATTATTGCCTTCCTTCTCTCCCTCTCCCTCCTTCTCCTACCGTGCGTATCCTCCTTGCCCTCTTCCTTCTTCTCCTCCTCCTTCCAACTCATCCTCCTCGTTCGCCTCCTCATTCCCTCTTTCCGTCCACCGTGCTGTCGTGGTTGCGTGGCTGTCTGGACTTCCTGAGCGCCTGGACGCGTCGCGCTACTTTCCGTTGCCTCTGCCCTTCCATTTGCCATGGCCCTTGCCCCGAGGCCCATTGCCCCAACCCCTGGCTCATGATCGAGAGGCGGCAAGGGAAGGGAGATATGCGAATGCGGAAAGAGAGAACGAGAGAGAGCGAACAGACAAAGGCCGCTGGACAAGTTCAGCATGCATGGGAGGGCGGAGGGGGAGATAGCAAAACAGCGAGTAAGGCAGGGTGGGCGATGGACAAGGCCGAGCAGAAACATGGTGTCTGTCCTGGCTTTGGCCTTGGCCCTCTCGGCCTCAGGAGGCACCAGCGAGCGCTTCCACTTGCTGCTGAACGCCATCCACATGTCGTTCATGGCCAGGCTCGCCTCCATCGCGCCTGCATTATCCTGCTGGGGTTGGGGAACGGAGCCCAGGACGAGTGAGAATGTATTTCCGAGCTTCTTGTCAAGCGAGAAAGGGTGTCAAAGTTTTGTTTGTGTGTGTGTGTGTGTGTGTGTGTGTGTGTGTGGGGGGGGGGGGTGGGGGGTCTAGGCGCCGCCTCGAATATGTTTCCAAGGCCCGCATACCCCCTTCAAAAGCCAATGCATCTCAAGTTCTCTCAGTGGTGCCCCATGTGGCGCTCCTGGTCGAACTGCGCCATGATGGCGGCCACCATCTTCTGTTTCTCCGCGGGCAGGGCGCCCTCGCCCTGGGACTCGGGCCACTTGAAGCCCTGGCTCTGGATGTATTTGTTCTCCAGGGTGAAGGCCCGAATCTTCGCGGGGTCGCTCAGCGCAGAGATCGTCTTGAGCAAGACGCCCTTGCGCTGGGCCACGCCCTGGGGGTCAGCAGAGACCAGCCAGTTGCAGAACGATGTCACTTCCGACATCATGTGCGTGAGAACCTAGCAGAGGTCGCCACGAGAAATTCCACTCGCCCCTCCCCCCCCGTGCGATCGCGCCCTTGGACGAGAAGAAGGGGTAGAGAGGTGGGCAAACCGAAGCGCGGAGGAGAAGGCGCATGGGGCTCCTCATCCTACGCCCCCCCCACCCCTACCCTTCTGCTCGTCTTCCATTGCTGTCGCCCCCTTCCCTCCGTTTCCCCCATCAGCGCCCCCCCCCTTTCCTCCCATATTCCCTGCGTGCTCGTTTCAGCCCTCCCTGACGCGAGCCTCGGGCCACTGCGTCGGTCTCTTCGGGCTGTCGGTGACCAGCTGCCCGGCCTGGACGCAAGTGGGGGATGCTGGGCTCAGGCGAGCAGTCAGCTCCGTCAAGAAGCGGTGCATCACTGGGCTCAGGTACGTCCTCATCTCCAGCAGCGGGCCCTGTCTCACCTGCGGGAAGCCAGAGAAGGACAGCGAGGACGAGCAGGAAGATGAGGGCGAGGATGCGGAGGAGAAGGAGGAGAGAAGGGGGAGGGGATAATACGGACGATGAGGAGGAGGAGGGAAGAGAGGAGGAGCCGACGAGGAGGAGGAGGGAGAGGAGGACGAAGCGGAGACGGAGGGTGACGAGGAGGAGGAGGAAGGTGAAGAGAAGGAAGTGTAGGGGAATGAGGGGGGGGGGGGAATAGGGTGAGCTATAGGATGCGGCCGATGATAGGGGAGAGGAGCAGGCCGATGAGGAGTAGCATGAAGAGGAGGAGGGGGGAGGAGAAGAAGGAGGAGAAGCAGCTGCAGCAGCAGCACAGGCAATTGCCCAACTGAGACTTCCAAGAGGAGCAACACCCACGCGCACGCCTGACACTGCTGAAGACCCAGCGACGTGACAATGTACAGAATGAGGCTTGCCCTCAAGGACCCCAACCTGAGCATGTCGCAGCTGGCCTCAACCAAACCAACCACCGCAAGGTTGCGCGAGAGGGCGCCCACGTGGCCGTGCTTCTTCACAAGATCAACGAGGCGCGCGGCGCTGTCCCATTCCGCAGGGATCCTGGCCATGACCTGGCCCATCGCCTGGCAAGAAAGCCAGGAAAGCAACGCCGTGGGATGACAGAGAGGAAACTTAGAACCAGACTGGCGTAGAGCGGGGGGCAGTTTCATCAGATGAGCGCCACCTCAACAACGCGCGAAGCATGGCGCATGGGGTTTACAGCGACTAGACACGGGAGTTCATATGGGCGCACATGTCCAGAGAGACAACTCAATGGAGGCCACGCTAAAGAAGGACATGCGCATGGCGAGCACATATTGGGCCCCCGCGCCGTGCGGAGGAGGTCACATCGGGATAGAGAGGGGTCGCACAAGCACGGCAGCACAAGCGCAGCACGGGAAGAGGAGGTCAACGGCACATGAAAAAGGAAACATTGGCCGATCTGCCTTCTCAACCAAGCAGTCGAAGGCGGCGCCCTCGTTCGGAAAGCTCCCACCGCTTGAAGCCAACGTGCCGAAGATCCCCATCATGGCCCCGTTAAGCATCTCGGCAGAGCACGCCAGCAGCATGGGCATTTTGGTGAAAGCCTGCCAGGGCGCGGTAGCAACAATAACTTCACCCACCCAACCCTCCTCGACCCCCTGAACCCCCGGGCAGCGCCTCCTGGCTTCGCACGAAGTCCCACAAGGCCAGCAGCACCGCGTCCTCCTCCTGAACCTGCTCGAGCAGATCTGCAGCTGGAACGGCAGTCCCGCCATCCGCCTCGGCGAAGCTGGCATCCATCGAGGCGTCCTCCAACGCCTGCGCTGAAAGGAAAGCAATCCCCCCCCCCCCCCCCTATCCTCATCCACATCCTCCATCTCATCCTTCTCCTCCTCCACCTCCCCCCCGTTCTTCTCCCCCCTCGTTTCTCCGTCTCGCCCTCCGCTTCCTCCCCCCGCGCTCCTCCTCATGCCCTCCAAATAGCTGGCCTCGCTCATCATCGGTGCATCCTCTCCGCGCTCTCGCGCGGTACTTCCCAACTCCCGTCGCCGAAAGGGAACGCTGGGAGTTTTCGTGCCCCAGGCCACCCCCCCATTCAATTGAGCCGAGCTCAGTTGCAATATTAAGTTGCCCATGCCCGCAGTGTTGAAGGAGGGGGGGAGGCCACCTTGCCGATGTCCTTCTCAGCGAGCACCTGCGCGCGCAAGGCGTCGAAGTCGGGGTCCGACGGCCTCGGCTTGAGCTGCGTGGCGCCGCAGATGTGGCGCTTGAATAGCATCCGAAGCTGCGCCCACCCAGCGACAGTCCTGCGGCGCGCTACGCCCTACCCCCCAAGCCAATCTCGTCACGGGTCCGCCACCGCGCGTCTGGGCAGCTGGGCGAAGGGGGGGGGGGCAGGGAGGGGCGGACTGAAGGCCAGGCGAGGGCGCCCAGGATGCGGGCGCAAGAAAATCCGAGGCAGGCTGCAAGCATAGGGGCGCACCAAGGAGAAGGTTCAACGGAGGGGAAGGAAGGGGGGGGGGGCGCGGAGAAGATGAAGGGCAGGGGGGCATGATGAGGGAAGGATGAAGAGGGCAGAGGACAGCGGACAGGGGCCGACTCGAGGGCGCATGAGGCGAGGCAGGCGAGGCCTAGGAGGAATAGGAGAGATGAGAAGCGTCAGCGCAGAGAGAAGAGGGGGGGGAGGAGGGGGCGAAGAAGGGAGAGGAGAAGGCGGAGGAAAGGGAGAGGAAGAGGAAGAGGGAGGGATGAGGAGGGGCGAGGAGGAAGAGGAGGAGAAGGAGGAGGACAAGGAGAGAGGCGGGGATGAGGAGGAGGAGGAGTAGGAGGACGAGAAGAGAAGGGAGGAAGGGGGCGGCAGAGAAGGGGGAGGTCAAACAGGAGGGATCGCCCCGCAAGGATCCTGGACTCGCCGTCGATCGAGACCTCGACCTTGCCATTGAAGATCCCCCAGAGCGCGGCCATGCGCATGCCCTGCACGAGCTCCTGGGTCTCGGAGCCGCCAAATCTTGGGGATTAGCGTGGGCCCAGCGCGTTCACGAGAAATTCGGCTTCCCGCCCCCCCCACCCCCACCCCCCCCCCCCCCCCCCCCCCCCCCCCCCCCGTCCATCCTCCCTCCCCCTTCCTCCTCATCCTGCCTACCTCCCCCTGTTGACTCTCCTGTTACCCCCTCCTCCCTCCTCTATCCTTGCTCACCCTTCTTCCCCTCCATCCTCACTCCTGGCCTGCTTCCTTGTTTACATATTCCTTCCCCGGGGATCCCACAGGGGACCTTCATCAAGAAGGACTCAGTCTCGCAGAGGAAGTCTAAGAAGTTCTTCTCATTCGCGTCGTCGTCCTCTGGAGGAGCCGTCGCGGGCGTCTCCTCGATCCTCTTGGCCTGGCCCTTCAGCTTCCTCTCC